TCTCCCTTCCAAAGAGGTACTGTGTATAAAGTGTAGTAGAGTACATGGCACATAGCTGGTGCTCAATAAATGCCAAGCTGAACCCTGGCAAGGTACCAATTCCATTCAACGAACATTGTCAAGTGGCTATAGTGTGAAAGGCACAGTGCAAGGGATGACAACTAGGACAAATTTTAAAAACAATCAATTGACGGATTTTGTAAAATATGAAAGAGACTTTAAAAACCAAGCATCGTTGTTTACAAACTATTTAAATTAGCATATTACCTTTCAAGAACCTAGAAAAGTGAATTTGGGAGTTTATCAGGAAAAATAAAAACAACATGGGTTTAGGCATTTGATAATTTAAAGGATTTCTGGAGGCTATTTTAAGTAACAAAATTGATACCTATACTGTACTTTTTCCTTTGTTATTTTCTTTTCCCAGGCAGAATATAAGCTTAGACTTAGGAACCATGCCTTCAAATTCTCTCACATCCCCAGAGTATCACTCTATCTGGGGGCAGATAGAAGATACTCAGCAAGAACATACTTAAGGAAAGAGTGTGATCTGTTACCTTCAGGTCACGGTGGATAATAGGAGTTTTGCATTGATGCAGGCGGGCAACGGCTTCACAAGTATCGCAAAATATCTGGAGCACTTCACTCTCTGTAAAACCTGTCTGTAGGCGCTGGTTCATCAGGTTTACCACTTGGCCTCCTGAGATGGGTGCAGAGCAAAGGAGAGATTATAAACATTCAGACTTGTCACCTAGCCCGAGAGAATGAATGGCTGTCCAAAGAGAGCAGCATGGACTAAGGTAACAGAGCTGATCATTGGCCAAGCCAGGCCTAAAATCCAGGTGTCTTGACTCCCAGCTTGGGATTTGTTTTCTTATAATCCAATGCCTCCTCTAACGTGTCAAAAACAGTTTCTTTATTTTACAAAGCACTCCAGACGTGAGCTGTCCCCATTATGTCTTCAAGATTATAGTAGAACTGACAATATGGCCCTGCTGTAGTTGCCTGGTTATACTGTCCCATTTGTGTACGAGATGAGGCCACAGCAGCAACTTGCATATCTCTGAGTGAGAATCAGATAGCACAATAGATCCAGGGAGCAGGAATAAGACAGTTTTACAGTCTGTACTTAAGAAACACTCGGTCTCTCTGGCTTCACTACTTATTGCTTGGCTTGCGGAAATGCTGTACCAACATTTACTCTCCAGAACAAAAAGATTGATGACCTCACTTAGAAAATTATCCAGATCCCTGGATGTTCCTATTACCTGGTCTCTAAACAACTTACTATCCAAAAAGGAATGGGCGAACAAAAACAAACTGTCAAGCTCAAATTTTGTAGTATTTTAGAAAATCAGGTTAATAGTTAATACAGTGAACGCTGAAATTACTGGTTAACATTACATTTTTGAGATTAGCAACATATTTAATTTATAGACAGTACCTTTAAGGGCAGGGAAAACAGTTAGTGGAACTAAGGGTGATTACAAAACAGGGCACCAAACAGTAAGACAATGACCTAAGCCAAACCTCCAAACCATGATTTTTATAAAATACAGTCAACTCTGGATAAATTCATGCTATGGTTTGAATTTCCCACGATAAATGTTTTTTGAAATTTCAAGCTTTCAACTACTTAACTCTACTGTTAACAGCAGCATCATTTGAACGTAGCTTCACCTTACTAGGAATTACAGCTTGAGAACAAGGACAGGAGAGTCAATTCCATTAGATGAAAAGGATTCTTTTACCCCATAACACAAGTACGGTGGTGTGAATGGGAAAGGAGAACACATGGGTGAGGAAGGTGGGAGGCTGCATTGTGTCTTTAGTCCATCTGGAGTTGGGTCTTTATTATGTTCCTTCATCATTTGTTTTCAAGTGTCACAGAGAACATATTCATTCTCATTCTTACATGTCATTTATATACAAGCATCAAATCTTCCTAAACCTAACAAAAATTGAGTTTTATATTATCCATCACTTTCAATTGTTTGTGGCACTGCTCTTTGCCATTATAAGAATAACCAAGAGTTGATAGCGAACTCGGTGTCTTTTAACCTCTTAATTTTCTCATCTGTAAAACCAGAACAACATACTTTAGGGTGTAGTGCACATTAAGTGAAATGACCCCCATGCTCTTGACAATCAAAATGCTAGAGAAATGAGAGTTTAAGGGTATGGTTCATATACATACCTCTACAGAAGTCCATCAGAATGAGAACTTCCCATACGTCGCCGCTACTCACATTGTTGATACTAGAATCAATGTAACCCACGATGTTCTTGTGCCCTGACAGGTCCCTCTGTGAACAAGAGTTGAGAAATACATTATCAGTTACAGACACCAATTTCGACAGAACTAGGCAGTCATTTCCATTAGCACAGATAATTTAAATACACAGAGATGACACTCAGTGCTGAGAGGTAAGACTAAAGAGCAGGGTCAACAACAGGTTTCCAGTGGTCTCTGAGATTCAGCCAGATCTTCAATAGCAATCCCGTGACCTTACTAAACCAAAACACTCTCTAAAACCTCAATTCTAGAGTCCAATGCACACAGAATGCCTACTTTCTCACTGCATCAATGCTCCATATAAAGCAAAAGCAAAGACCCCCATCTTCACTGCAGAAAGGTTAAGGGTACAGAGACAGTATGGACTATTTAAATATGTGAATTTTTAATTAAGAAGAATAAAATTGATGTTTTCCCTGGTTGTAGGGGCAAAAGTGAATCCAACTTGACTTTTCAATGGTTTATACTGTTTTTTCCCTCTAGGAAATATACAAAAAGAATAACTATTTACAAAGTTTTGAAGGGACTACAGTAGCATCCAGACCTAAGCATTTTGCTCATAATTAAGCCTTTCAACCCAACCGACTGGGATATAAGATGGGGCATGTTTCCAGCTCTTCAG